AAACCGGAAACTGAAAGAATGAAAGTTATAGATCTTTGGGGACCTTGTAAAGACCTACATGATGTCAGGGCTTTTCTAGGAACTGTAGGGGTCTGCAGAATGTTTATTGAGAATTTTGCAAAGAAAGCAGAACCTCTCAACGATTTATGCACAAGAAAAGTCTATGGACAAATTGAAATCCTCACTTCGCGAAAGTAAAGCGCTCGTGCCGTTGGATTACGAAAATAATCCTAACCCAGTGGTACTAGCTGTAGACACCTCTTGGAAAGCGGTTGGGTTCTACATATATCAGGATAGCCATACAACTGGGCTTAGGCAGTATGCCAGGTTCGGTTCTATAACTTTGAATGATAGAGAAGCTCGATTTTCTCAACCAAAAAGAGAATTATTTGGTTTAATGCGATCTTTACAAGCTGCATCATATTGGCTTCTAGGATGTCGAAAACTAATTGTGGAAACAGACGCGAAATACCTGTCTGGTATGCTTCGAAACCCTGAAATGGGACCGAATGCAACCATCAACAGATGGATTGACGCATGTCTAATGTTCCATTTTAAGTTACAGCATGTCCAAGGAAAGACCTTTGGCGCAGATGGATTATCACGCAGAAACGCTCAACCAGGTGACGATGTGTATCCACCTTCAGATGAACATCTCGACGAACCCATTGGTGTCATTGAAGTGTTACCAGATCCAGATGGAGGGGAGCCCCCTTTGGATTTCGAAACCTTCAAAGATCAAATTGACTCGAGGGGGGGATATATCCAACAATTGGCTCTAGACATCTCAGATTTTCAGGATGAACTAGACAGGGAAATAGCAATGACACAGAAAATAGCTAAAGATGTGAAAACAAGAGTGGACAATGATCCAGATCATACAAAAAGCAGCCCAGAACAGAAGGAATTTCTTCGAACTTACATGATTTCGACTTTAACTTCACTAGGCCTGGAGGCCAGGTTTGACGAACTAGAAACAGAGCAACCTTACCCGGAAACTCATAGGTCATTCATTGGACAGTCACAGGATGAATTCCTTCTTATACTAAGAGAATGGCTGAAAAATCCTAAAAAGATCGAAGGATATTCTGATAAAAAGTATGGCGCTTTTGTAAGATTTTGCAAAAGTTTCTTCCTAGACAAAGAGGATAGATTATATCGTCGAAGCATTGAATCACGTCACAAGCTAGTGGTCGACAAGTCTCACCGAATGTACATGATGAGATCTGCACACGATGCTATGGGACATAGGGGAGCATATGCAATGCAGAATATGTTAACGGAGCGTTTTTGGTGGCCTGAAATCGAAAGAGACGTACATTGGTATGTGAAAACATGCCAGCGTTGTCAGGAACGAACCAAACGTGTGGTGGAAATCCCACCCACCGTGACACATACACCATCTATTTTCCAACGACTACACGCTGATACCGTACACATGACTCCGAAATCAAATGGATGTAAGTACATCGTCCATGGGAGGTGTGCACTGTCAAGCTGGGTTGAAGGAAAACCCCTAAAAAGTGAAACTGCAAGAACTGTCGGCTTATGGCTTTTTGAAGAAGTCATCTGCAGATGGGGTTGTCTAGAAGTAATAATAACTGACAATGGTTCGGTTTTCCTTGCTGCTGTAAAATGGCTTGAAGAAAAATACGGGATAAAGGGTATTAGGATATCTCCGTATAATTCTAAGGCAAATGGCAGAATCGAAAGGCCCCATTGGGATATTATACAAATGCTCACAAAGTGCTGTGGACCCAAGAACCTTGCCAAGTGGTATTGGTTCTTTTGGCAAGTACTTTGGGCTGACAGGATCACGATTAGAAAAAGATTTGGTTGTTCGCCGTTCTTTATGGTGACAGGCGCACATCCAATATTACCTCTCGACATACAGGAGGCTACCTGGTTAGTAAAATTACCAGATCGTATGTTGTCCACTGCAGAATTGATTGGCTATAGAGCCAAAGCATTAGCAAAACACAGGCAGCATGTGGCGGAAATGCGCGAGAGGGTCACCTTAGAAAAAGTGAAAAGAGTGGCAAAATATGAACTAAGCCACCGCCATAAAATCAGTGGTCGAATGTATAAACCCGGAGACCTGGTGCTTATCAGAAATTCACAAGTATCCTCGTCATTAAATAGTAAAATGCAACCAAGATACCTGGGACCTATGATTGTGGTACGTCGAACAAAGGGAGGTTCATATATAGTTTGTGAACTGGACGGATCAGTCAATCACAATAAAATTGGAGCGTTCAGAGTCATTCCGTATTTCGCAAGAGAAAGGATCGACTTACCTGAGCACTTCAGTACACTTATTGATGCAAGCAATGAGGAACTGGATGAAATCGAAAACACAGGCGTTGAAGAAAGACCTAACACAAGAGATTACTACTTTGAAGGAGTTAATCTTGATGGGTCTTCCGCAGATGAATCCGGGGACTTAGAAGAAATCGAAGATTTAAGTGAAGAAGAGGCTTAGTAGACTTATGCTTTAAAATTGGCTAAAAAGTTTAATAAAAACCTCCAGCAGTTTATAAACATAATGCGCAAGCGCCTTCTAGATTTTCCATGCGTAGTCAACTATACATGCGGGCTCTAGGTGTCCGTCTACAAAAAGTTCGGATAGTTCTACTACTCCTTAGTTACTTCACGCTCAGCAATCTGGGCAAGGGCAATTTCGTAATCAGCGACAAGTACATCGCGAAGACGAAGCTCCAAGTCAAGGCGCTGCATGCTAAGAAGAACGCGTTCACGAAGATCGACCTCTTGCTGCTTGAAATAAGCAAGGGTGGGATAAGCCGGCATGCGGTTGGTAACAGCAGCATGTGCGCGCGCTAAGATCTCCCTGTACAGAGGGTTGTCGATGAGCAAGGAGTTGGCAGACTCGTCTATAACAAAGGACGAGTGCGTTAGTTTACGATTTATGAAGATAAAAGATAAATACGAACTTTGACGAGACTGAAGATCTGCTAAACCACTAATAAAGGGCGGTTCAGTACGAGGGCGTTTGTCGCCAGCGCAACTGCCTTTGGCATGCTCGACGACGAGGGCCTTGTGAAATTCGCGACTGTTAGTGTCCATGCCTGGAACAGCGTCGTAGGGTATGCTGACCGTTTCGGCACGCTTGGATTTGGCTGGGGTCTGTTATGTCCGAATAGAATATGAAGTTAACAACGTGGCAGTGGACTCACACAATAATAGCAGCTTACCTTGGGACCAGAGGCAGCGCGCTTCTTGCCTTTCTCTTTGGGAGAGGAAGCGGCGTCCTTGACTTCTTCGTCACCAAAGAGGTTGTCCACTGCCATCTGAGCAAAGCGGTACGCAATGTTAAAATTGTGTTCTGCTCAAAAGAAAATAAAAAATAACGCACGGTGTCAGCTGCAGTGATAGCGTTGGGGCCATCACACCCACCCATCATAACGTCGGTATCCAAGGGGCCGGGGACAATCTCGACCTCGTCATCCTTGTCCTCAACGACAGCCTTGGACTTGACAAGCTTGCAGGGACGCTGTTTCAAAATGTATCCGCGCTGCGTTAATAAAATGAGAAAAGATGAACAAAATAAGTATAAACGTGCCTTGGCTTTAGCGGCGGCCATTACCTCTGCAATCTCAGCCTGAGCCTGAGCTTGAGCAGTAACAGGTGGTGGAACGACCTGCGCAGCGGCGCGCGCGGCGAGAACGGCGCGACAATATTCTTTGATAGTGTCGAGGTCGGCTGGGGGCGCGATGGCGTGAACTCCAGTGCTGCGGGTATTGTACTCGCCTCTAACAAGGAAAAGCACATTGTGCATTGGCTGGTGCATAAGCAGACACGGATCCTTGGTGTCGATAAGCTGAACCTAGTCAAGTGCGCAGTATTAGCCTTTGTTCGAAGAAATAGAGAATACGAAGTTTATAACAGAAAAATTCGCGACTTACACAGTAATTAGCGGCTACGCCAAGAATGGTGGGAGCGGCAGCGCTGTTCAGTCCCTCTTTCATGTCCTGATAAGTTTTGAAGGCAGTGAGAGCGGACTCGCGAAGCTTGACAGCGGCGGGAAGAGCGTTGTGTGGGATAGACATAATGAGCGAGTGGTAAAATGAGAGTGCGTGGTAGAAAAGCAAAAAACTGTTCTGTCCGAAAATTTTTCGCCACTGCCTGCTTTTATATGTGTGTCTGAGACCAAGGCGTGCGCGTTCCGAAATTCCGCGTTGCAATTCACTTGAAGCGTGAAAATTTGGAGTTGCGCATTCCAGCGCAATCACGTCTAAAAATAGAATAAACTTTCCGAGCCTTGGATGTCCCGCGCCACGTGACCTATGAACTTAGTCGTTTTGACTGAGGACAGTCAATATTTAGTGAGGGGGAGGGATCAAGGCTACCTTGATAGATAAAAAATTCGATTTCATGATTCACTAAAACCACCAAGGGGAAAAGAGTCATAAAAACGCGAACTAGAGACAATAAAACCCTAAGGCAGAATGAATTTGATAGAAAAATGCGAAATAAAGTCGAAAATTCACAAGTTCACACTCTAGAAAGCATGCAAAAAGGCTCTCACTTAGGAACAAATCTCAAAGTTCAAGAAAGACAAAGTCAAGATTCTACTATAAGGACAGCAGAATCTAACTACAAAAGATAATGACACAAAAAGGTTGATATAGAAAGTCCAAAAACTAAGATGTCCGAATGCATGCCAAGTAAAAGAGTCCGTAAAAACAAGCGCACCTACTCCTCGTCAACAAGCTCATCGATAACCTCCTCCTCCTCCTCCTGAGAATGGGCGGAAGGTGGAAGACCAGGCGAAGCAGCGGCGATAGAAGGAATAAGGGACAGCGAGCAGACGCGGCGTTGACAAGGTGTCAGAGATGAAGGCCCAGCAATGGGAGGAGAATCGTCTCGCTGAAAAAGCGAGACGAGTCTCTCCAAATCGGCCGTCGTTGAACCCGCAGGCACTGGGACCCCCTGAGTATCTACAAAGTCTTGAACGAAGCTGTACCACGAGCCGAACTCCTCGCGAGTCTCGAAAACAGTGCCTAGAAGAGTTCCAGGCTCGGCGGTGAGACACAGGTCCGCGATGGCGTTTGCGAACTCTCGAAGATTGGCGTCGCGACGATGGCGAATGGCCTCAAGGACTGCGGATAGGGTGCGCATATGAAGCGTGTCTTCTTCGATGGACTCCATCAGCGCAGATATAGCTAGAAAAATAAGTGAAAAGTCATTAAAAAGACTATAAAATAAAAATAAAAATCATACCTGAAGGCGCATGAATAGCCAACCGGTTACGGATGACATCCCTGACGGCCCCTCGGCGTTCATCATTCAGATAGTACTCACACGAAGAAACATGCGCCGCGTCGCAAGGACCGCAGGGAGTTCCCCACCCACGAAAGGTGCAGTTCTTGACAGCGGAATCCTTGCGCGCGGAGCACTGAAGGCAAGGTTCGGGCATCTAATAAAACAGGTATCAGTACCTATGAAAACTCAGACAAAAATGAGAGGAGGAGACATACATGGATTTGTGTACCCTTAAGAACCGCGGGGAGCTCTTTAAGCCCAAATCTAGCGGTGGCATGTTCTAAAAAGAAAGTCAGCAGGGTAACCAAAATACTAGTAAAAAGAACGACTTACTAAATCGCTTCTTGTCGAACACGATGGGCTCTTGGAAAATAACGGGAGCTGGAAAAAACCTGAATTATAAAGTTAAAAAGCAAATTGAGAAAGAGAAAAAGCTTACACTTCTTACGAGGGCGACCGCGATGCTTGGGTTGAACAGAAGTTTCCTTCTGCTTGACCACCGGTGGCTTAAAGGCAGTACGCTTGGCGGAACTACGAGTAGTAGGAGGAGTCCTCGCCCGAGCCTTTCCCTTGTCAACTCGAGATGAACCTGCAACAGGCGGAGGCGTCTTGGCGCGAGCCTTGCCCTTGTCTGCACGCAAAGGCCTAGCAAGAGGTACAGAGTCCGACGAGCTCGAACGTGAACGGTTGGGATGTTGGATGGCCTCGTCATCAGATGAGGGTTTCTCAATAATCTTGCGTCGTTTACCTGGCTAAGAAACCAAAAAAAAAAAAAAAAAAAAAAAAAAAAGTTAGTAAAAATGTCTAAGCAGAGGAAAATGAAGAAACTTACAGGGCCAATAGCCAGCTTCAAGGGGTTGAAGACGGAGGATCGATGATCTCGACCACATCCGAATCTTCGTCCATGACCATGGCACGAGTACGCTTCGACCTTCGAACAGGGACAGGCGGCGTCGAGTCAGGCGAGGAAACTGGCAGGGACTCTGGGCCAGGGCTCGGTAGAAACAACGGATCGGATCCCGTAGGAGAAGGGGACTGAACGACATGAGCTCGACCTCGGGGAGTAATGATCCCCGGAGGTGACGAAGACCCGCGGTCGCTCGGCGCGTCCTCCTCTCCTATGTA